CCGACCACGCGCATCATCCACATGGAGGACATCATGACCATCGTCAAGTCCAGCTTCCAAGGCATGTATGTTCAAGTGGGGACCCTCATCATGCGCCAAGTCCATGGTACAGCAATTGGCTCCCAGCCCAGCCCGGTACTTAGCCACATCTGCGTAGCAAGGCACGAAGTCATCTGGCAGCGTATCTATGAACAATGAATGGTACATCAGTCACAACGTCTTCTTGGAGAGATATGTGGACAACCGGTTTGTCATCTTCCCTTCTCCATCCTCAGGTCACCCGGCGCCCCCACTGGAGGCACTGCTCCAGGCTGACTTCTACGGTGCCCCCATCGTGCTGGAACAAGTGGGGTTTTCAGAGTTCCTCGGCTTCGTCATCGATGTCGGCGACAGGTCTATTTACTACAAAACCCCTACAAAAATCTGGCAGATAAGAGGACCACGCACTGCTGGAAGCCTCTCCATCCTCCTCTCAGGAGCTAGGTCACGGTCAGCCCTTGCCACCAAGTACGCGCATCCGGCCAGGGCAGTACAGATGGCACTGGATCAGCTTCGCAGCATCTATTTGTCCGCAGGCTACAAGTCAGCTGACCTGCAACACCTGTTTCACCTACCGGCGGCTCCAACACGAAAGAATCCTCAAGCGCCTGCCTTTTTGGTTCTTTACCCTCATGTGTCCGCGTTTGTTTTTCTTGTTTTCTTGGTTTTCTTGTTTCTTGATGTCCGTGTTGACCCTGGTGCTCATACACTGGTTCAATCAGTGCTGCACTTCCTGCGGACCTCCGCGAGCTGTCGCCATGCTCGGCCGCATGATAGCGCTTCATCACCGCATGACGACTCAGAACGCTGGTGACATGATGCAGCTCATTCAGGAGACCTTGAACCAAGCTGACGAGGCACGCAGTCGCCGGCACCATGACGGGCAAGGTCGCTGGCAACAACAATATGTCCACGGCCGGTCGCTGGCCGAGCCATCACGGCTACACGCACCTGCTCCTGTTGGAGCCGATGAGGTAAACCCACCTGGCCCGCCGATGTCGACTCCAGTCAACCCAGCATCTCCGACCGACCCTCCACCACATGTCGGATTCCAATCAATTCAGTCACACGCAGACCACAGGCGGAATGTGGCGGTCAACCCCAAGTCGTTGTCCTATTGCATCATCGCGGCGGACACCAACGACCCTACAGATCTGCGTTCGAAGAGCCCCATGGTGCACGATTACGTTGGTCAGCCGGGCTTCAAGAAGGCCAATGTTCCTCGCTCTATAATGGACAAGGGTGAGGCCGATCGACGCAGAACCAAGCGAAAGCGATGCCGCGCTACATCCTCCGAGAAGACGGACTCGCCGGAACCTCCAGCACGTCCAGCACTTCGTACTCCAGCTCCAGCTCCGGTCTCTCCCTGCGCTGGCCTGGTATCCTCTCCTGAATCCCTTCCTGAACCTCCGGCTCATGCTTTCCGATGCCGGCAACCCTGGAACTCCCCCGAAAGCACCTCGTGCCTGGACAGAGGAAGATGACCAGCAGCTTTGCAGCCTGAAAGCGGACAACCGGTCCAAGTACTCGTACAAATCGCTGGCCAAAAAAGCTCAACAGGTCCATCGCGGATGTCACGCAGCGCTGGAAGAGCCTGGAACGCCTCAGGAAAGCTCGGGAACAGCATCAGAAGACTACCTGAACGTGTCCAACACAGCCCGTCTCCGGTGATACAGGTGCAGCTCTACCACGGATTTGGGGCATCGACTTTTTGAACTCCAGATAGGAGCAATGCGTCCTCTCGGCCACAATCAAAAAGTCCGCAAACAGTCGCCGCCGGTGTATGTCTTGGCATGGTTCTGGTTTTCTGTTTTGCTTCTGTCTCTGGGGGCCCCTGCTGTCTGGGTTCCTGGTTGGCCCTTGTTTAAGAAACGTGGCTTTTTAATACTGTGGGAGACATGCGCGTCCAGACGCACAGGCAGGATTTAAAAAAGTGACCAAATCTCCCATCGAGCATCATGATGGAGGCGGCCTTTCGGTTTCCTGTGTTCTCCCCCTGCGGGGGGTGTGTGTGTGGCCCCCCTGTTTCTAAGAGGCTTCCGCTGTCCTTTTGTGTTTGGAGTCGGGTGCCACCATGGTGAACAACGGCGTGAAGTACTGACAGCTGGGTGTTGGCACTCCGTTGAAGAGGATGCCCGCTGTCGGGAACGACGACCTGAGTGAGCCATGCCGAAACTCCAACCTGATTCCGTGCATGCGTCCTGATACGTTTCGGGGTGCACCTTCGCAGTTTTGCAGTCTCATATCAAGTGAGTGTGTGTGTGTGTGTGTGTGTGTGTGTGTGTGTGTGTGTGTGTGTGTGTGTGTATGTGTGTGTGTGTTTGTGTGCGTGTGTTTTGTGTGTGTGTTTTGTGTGTGTGCTTTTGTGTGTGTGTGTGTGTGTGTGTGTGTGTGTGTGTGTGTGTGTGTTTGTGTGTGTGTGTGTGTGTGTGTGTGTGTGTGTGTGTTTGTGTGTGTGTGTGTGTGTGTTTGTGTGTGTGTGTGTTTGTGTGTGTGTGTGTGTGTGTGTGTGTGTGTGTGTGTGTGTGTGTGTGTGTGTGTGTGTGTGTGTGTGTGTGTGTGTGTGTGTGTGTGTGTGTGTGTGTGTGTGTGTGTTTTTTTTGTGTGTGTGTGTGTGTGTGTGTGTGTGTGTGTGTGTGTGTGTGTGTGTGTGTTGTGTGTGTGTGTGTGTGTGTGTGTGTGTGTGTGTGTGTGTGTGTGTGTGTGTGTGTGTGTGTGTGTGTGTGTGTGTGTGTGTGTGTGTGTGTGTGTGTGTGTGTGTGTGTGTGTGTGTGTGTGTGTGTGTGTGTGTGTGTGTGTGTGTGTGTGTGTGTGTGTGTGTGTGTGTGTGTGTGTGTGTGTGTGTGTGTGTGTGTGTGTGTGTGTGTGTGTGTGTGTGTGTGTGTGTGTGTGTGTGTGTGTGTTTTTTTGTGTGTGTGTGTGTGTGTGTGTGTGTGTGTGTGTGTGTGTGTGTGTGTGTGTGTGTGTGTGTGTGTGTGTGTGTGTGTGTGTGTTGTGTGTGTGTGTGTGTGTGTGTGTTGTGTGTTGTGTGTGTGTGTGTGTGTGTGTGTGTGTGTGTGTGTGTGTGTGTGTGTGTGTGTGTGTGTGTGTGTGTGTGTGTGTGTGTGTGTTGTGTGTGTTTTTGTGTGTGTGTTTGTGTGTGTATGTTTTGTGTGTGTGTGTTTTGTGTGTGTGTGTGTGTGTGTGTGTGTGTGTGTGTTTTTGTGTGTGTGTGTTGTTGTGTGTGTGTTTTTTTTTGTGTGTGTGTGTGTGTGTGTTTTTTCCGGCGTGCGTGGAGGGTACATAGACTGGCGGACTCATGAGGGCAGCATTCCTTGCCCGGACTTGGCTCAAGTGCTCTCGGCCTCAAAACCCATCCGTGAAACTGCCAAAGCGATGGCTCAAGCCGCTGCTGTCGGGGCCGCCCTTCTGGGCGCCACTGCCTTCCTGGCGCCCTCCAGTGCTCCCAGCGTTAGCGCCCCCAGCGCGCTGCGGGGTGCCCAGGGTGGTCAGGCTACCCAGGGCTCACGGGGCCTGGGGTCGAGCTTTGTGCCGGCGTTGGGATGCTCAGCGGCTGCTGCTGTGGTGGTTGGGGCGCAGAGGACCGCGCGCCGGGCCGCGGCGGTGAAGAAGAAGGGTGCCAAGGTGGTCCACGGCAAGGAGATCCCCTGGAACCTGTTCACACCCAAGGCGCCTTACCAGGGCAAGGTCATCGAGAACGACTTTCACCCTCAGACCCTGACGGAGGACACCGGCGATGCCAACTGGGAGACTTGCCATGTGACCTTTGACCATGGTGGCAAGGTGCCCTACATCGAGGGCCAGTCCATCGGCGTCATCGCCCCGGGCCCTGACAAGAAGGGCGAGACCCCGGCGAAGATCCGCTTGTACTCCATCGCCTCTTCGGCGGTGGGTGACAACCAGAACTCCAAAACGGCGCCTTGGCTGGAATGAGCAGACGGCTTTGCGAGTTACTCAAAGCCACACGTGCACTTGACATGTTGGTTGAGCCTTTTCAGCTTTGGGGTGTGGCCTTGTGGTACCTTCAGACCCCAGACAGTTTATGCCGAACACAGTGGCTTCGCTAGATAGTAAGCAACCCATTGTTCTCCCTGTTTCTGAGGTGTCGCTGTGCGTGAAGCGGGTGGTGGAGCTGGACGGGAAGTTCTCCAACCGTGAGAAGGGCGAGGACAAGCCGGACAAGGCCGGTACCGGCTTCCCGGAGAATGAAGTTTACCGGGGCGTGTGCTCCAACCACATTTGCGCGCCTTGGCCCGGAAGCTGAATGGGCAGCTGGCGGTATGACTTGTTTTCAAGCAGCAATTGACAGGGGTCTCCAATTGCAATACGGTGCAATTGCATTTTTGATTCCTCTTTGAGCGAGTTCTGGAGGTTGGGTTAACCAAGATTTGTGCAAACTGCCTTGCTTCGGCGCGAAGGTTTGGATGCCGCAATCGGTTTGTGTCACTCCCTCTCCCTCTCCCTGGTGCGTCAGCTCTTTGCGTGTTTGTGAGTTTGCGCGTTTGTGTGTATGTGTGTTGTGTGCTTGTGCGCTTGTTTGTGTTTATGTTTGTGTTTGTGTTTGCGTTGTTGCGTTTGCGTTGTAGCTCGCGTTTGTATTTGTGTGTGTGTTGGTCCGATGGCTTTTCAAACGGCTCCCAACGCTCGGACTGGTTGATCCTGCCTAGTGCCGGCTGGACTCAGCCATGGGAACATGCCATGCGCTGTGTTGCACGGGCTGAGGACATGAGCCCTGGAGATGACGTGCTCATCACCGGCCCCACGGGTGCGGAGATGCTTCTGCCGGAGGACCCCAAGGCCAACATCATCATGCTTGCCACCGGCACAGGCGGGGTAGGGAGATGGGGCCCTGAGGCGTTCACATCATGAGCCATCATGGGCCAATAGATGGTGCATTCCGGCATTCTTCAAATCACCGCCATTTTGGGAAGCGCCAATCCAGTCGCTGAGGTATTGCGCCCATGCGCTCTTACTGCCGCCTGCTCTTCAATGATGACGCAGGCGCCGATTCGGACGGAGGCCGCAAGTTCAAGGGCCTCGCGTGGCTCTTCATGGGCGTGCCGCTGGGTCAAACAGGGGGGGGTAACTTGGAAAGTTTGGAAACTCCTCTTCGCAAAACTAGCACCTTAGGACTCAGGAACAACAAGGATTAGGATTCCCTGCTGAATGGATGAACCATGGTCAAGCGGCACCGGGCAGGGGGTCTTGCAATGGAATGCTTGGCGCAAGGCGGTGAATCATTGCGATGCTTATGCCAGAAGCATGGCATCATGACACGCGTTGGGAGAGATTCAAATCACATGTAGGGCCCCGCCCCCCCCCCCCCCCCTCCCCCGGAAATGCGGTCAAAAGGCAACCACTTCATGGGACGTTGATTCAAAGACCTGAGGCCGTATTCCAAGTCCCTGCTCTACGATGACGAGCACCAGGAGTATAAGAAGAACTTCCCGAACCAGTTCAAGTACGACTATGCCGTGAGCCGGGAGGACAAGAATGCGGCAGGCCAGAAGATGTACATCCAAACCAAGATGGCGGAGTACGCAGAGGCCCTGTGGGTTGCGGGTTCAGTACTGTTGGGGGGAAGTCAAGGTGCGTTTCATTGTGCTTTGCATCATTCGCCACATGCAAGTGAAGGCATGGTTGCGTTTCTTTGCGTGCGCCTTTTGTCCTCCATTTTGTGGGAGTTGCTTCCCTTCTGCGTGTCGGAGGAGTTGTGGGAGATGATGCAGGACGAGAAGACCCACATCTACATGTGCGGGCTGAAGGGCATGGAGGCGGGCATGGCGGAGTGCTTCGGGCCCATCGCGGAGAAGAACGGCATCGTTTGGGCGGAGTTCGCCAAGGCCATGAAGAAGGCGGACAGGCTCCACGTGGAGGTCTACTGAGCAAAGGTGAAGGGTGGTACAGGGTCACCAAGCAACACAGATACTGCAAGCTTACATGTAGACTCTTAGCAATACACACCCTCATCATGCATGATCATCAAAAAATGGGTAGCTATGCATGTCACGTTGCATACTTCAAAGTACTTACTTGGGCATCCTGCATGAGTCATAGGCCATGAGCTTAAACTTTACTTTCACCTGCCGCGGCCGGCTTTTGTCTTTACTTTCAATCAGTTTTGGCGGTGTCCGCTTCCATTTTTCCGCAAGATGACCCCACTCGGGCAACCAACGCCCTGGGGCAGACAGCTCCTCGCGAGCTCAGAAAGCGGGCGGAGGGCTTGACGAAGGCACCACTTTGAAACCATGGGGCTTCAAGGGCTCTCCAACGGGGCGCTCCAATCAAGGAAGCAATGTAGGGCCTAGGCTTCACGGGCTGTTATCCTCAGGGGTGCTTGACAACCATAGGGTTCCATGTGGCTGAGAGGCTGAGAATGCTTTGTACTGAGACTAGATTTGCGCTGCCCGCCAGGACTGCTTTGACCCACACAAACCTGCCCAACGAAACATCACCACCCGAGGTGAGCGCAGCGCAGCTGCGGCACCTGGGAGTGCCGCCTGCGGACACGGCGCGGGCAGCTCCAGCTCGGCCAAGGGTAAACAGACAGTCAACTGGTAAAAGCGTGGCCAAAACCAGTGGGCCAGCTGACAGGCAACCAGAAGGGTTGAGCAAGTTCTCAGCCCAACCCTGAAGTAGGTAGGCATCCATGATGACCATGCTTCTTGGAAGTGTTTATGCGTATGCTCATTCACGCAGAACCGAATGGTGCCAGGTGCGAGACATGGCGCTTGACCCGGTGGCTTCAACGGATGCTGCAAGAGGTTGAGAAAGATGTCCGAGGCACATGCCGACATTGGAACATGAATGTAGAAAGCGGCTCAAAGAAGGCGTGGCCCCTTATTCTTTTCAGAAAACTTAGACTGGCGTGTGTGACGGTTTGAACATTGTATACTTTCCGCAGCTGCGAGGATTAGACTCGGGCGCATTCAAACGCGCATAAAGAGAAAGCATCAGCCGGACTGGTGGTGCAAAGCAACTTCGCCGAAGCACAAACTAGGTGCCGTAGTGGCAGTCAGCAGGGGAGGGAAGTATGGTGAGCCTAAGTGACTATATACTAAGCTAAAGCAATTTGGGGCCTTAGTAGTGGCACAATGTTGCCGCTGTGCAGCAACTCACCAATGCGGCACATTGCAAACGCACCCTTTGGCTGCTGCAAGCAGTCAAAGTCCAACAACATGCGGACATTCCCCCGTTCTTCCTGTGATGTGGCTCCTTTTCGAAGAGGATTTGACTGAAACGAACCGTTTCTAACCGCTTTTTGCTTGGTTAAGAAGCCCAGCTTCTTTGGCCATACGCCGACCCCTGACAATTCGCTACTATCTTTGTAGGCCTTGCATGGCAGTCTTGCCTGCAGCGCTTGCCATGAGCCAGCCACCATGCTCAATCTTGAGCGCAAGTGCTTCGATCCTGGGACTTGATTCATTCATGTGTGTGTGCATACAATGCATGTGTTTAACGTTTGCTTCGGGCCTTTGTCGGCAACAGGAAGTCTTGCTACGAGTGCAAGCTGGATCAAAAGCAGTCGTGAGGAACAGCAATCCTTGGCGGTTGTTGCGTTCTGCGTCGTTGTAGCTGAAGCGGCTCAACCCCATGGCCAAAAACAGCAAGTCGCTGGTTGCACTTGGGCTATTTTAGCAGCTTACTACGGCGAAGGGGGTTTGCACCCCTTTGTGTTTCTCTTTACGGAGTAGTGCAGCCAAGCATAGCTGGGCCGGGTGATCTGACGGCGATGTAGAGAGAGAGAGAGAGAGACAGAATGACGCTAGTTGTAGAAGCTGGCAGGGCACCCGCCCCACAGGAATCAATATAAATTTGCAACTGCTCCATGAGGGATCAACTGCCAACCTTGCCAAGGACCTGGCCAGCCGTGTTGCAGGACTGTCGAGGGGGGGTGTCCGCGTCGGCCTCACCAGTTTGGATTCCTTTGTTAGGATTGCTTCAATACTCCTTTCTCAGGGGCTGACTCACCTGCCGGCTACATGTGCCATCTGCTTTCGCACAGTGCTGCTAGCTATCCTGCCTCTACCAACCTCAGGCAAGGTGCAGAGCGAGCGGCGCGGGCCTCAGAGGTCACCTGGGCTACCCGCTGAAACCGCAAGTTCCAGCGGAAGATGAACATATTTACATTTGCTGGCCTTTGTGGAGGCCATGTGCTTGTGGGAGCTCATCACTCAGGGCTTGTGAATTCAGGGTTCCTATCTCCTACCAAGTGCCCAAGTAGCTGCCGATCTTGTCAGACCAAGCATTTCCAGCTATCCCTCACCATCTCTCACCCAAAGAATCCGGAAGGTGAGGGTGGAGGGTTCATATGAAAATGATTGTCTTATTCATTGCATGGATCCTCAACCCCGTATGCTCGCTCTCCTTTGGCCCCTGTCAGACGGCAGTTCCTTTCGGCAACCATGTGGTCGTGCTGCAGCGGAGGCTACCTTGTCCACAGCGAGCAAGAAACCAAACTTGCATACTAGCGGGGATGGGGGGGGGTGCCCAACTTCAAGTCCTTTGCAATGCAGATGCCTTGATACGACACAGTCACTTTGGGCTATTGCGGGTGGCGAGCTCAACAATTAGATGTCGGCTGAGTGGCCCTGGTGAGGATGCGATGTGATTAGCGGCTTGCGATTTCTCTTGCGGGAGCCGGTGTGCGAAACATTACCCCCACCCCCACACAGAGCCTCGCCTTTCCCGGTTAGCTAGGACGGAACATGGAAGGCGCGTTCCTGAATGTGGTGCTCATGCTTGCCTCCATTTCAATCACCGCCATGTTGCCAAGAGAGTTTTGGCATTGAGGCCAAGACAGGCACCTCTGGCTTTGCGCCCTTTAGGCCTTTAACTTGAACATCAGGCGAGTGTCTGGGGAGCCGCCAAAATGGGTGGCTTCCTCTTGGTTTCCTTTCCCAAGCAACCCAACGGGATCCTCAACAGAAGGCACACCCCGAGCCCCAGGCCAAGATTCACAAGCCTAAGGTCAAAGCCCTGGAAGGTGTCCTATGCCAACGGCGACACTTACGAGGGAGAGGCGGGAAGCTGAAGCTTGCGGTGTCACCGTAGGCTTCGTGGCTCTTCAGTGGGAACGTTGGTGGAAGGACACGGGCTGCGTCCAACAACTGAGGTTTCTGAGCACTTGTTGTCCGGAAAGTCGATGCCAGCAAGATCGGGCCGGGTCCCGGTAGGGTAGGGTAGGAAAGAGGACAACCAACCGAAGAGGCTGCCCAAGTCTTAAAAGCAACTTCATTAGACTTTGGCCAATCCTTGGACCAGGCGACGGGGCCCACTCCCGCGCAGAGTGTGCGCCACGGCTATGGGGTCTACAGCTACAGCAGCGGAGGGCGTGCCATGGCAAGGCCCAAAGACGGACCAAGGCATCCCAGAAAGAAAATAAACACTTGAGTGAACTTCGGGATTTGATTGGGATGATGGCATGTCTCTATCGCAGGGACTGTTGAAATGCCAGCTTGCTGGCTAAGTCTCAGCTAACTTCAATATAAACTCTAAGGGAAGCGTGTCAGTCAACTAGTGGCCGTCACACTTGACCATCCCCTCGCACGCAGCTTTTTCAATGTGCATTTCGTCCAGCGAGGGAACAGATAGACGCAGCAAGTAAGGCAATGTTTGCACGTTGGTTCTCACCATTGCCAAAGCTGCTGCAATCAAAATTTGATCAGCAGGCCCAATATGTAAATCAACAACTTCAGCCTTCAAACTCGCCATAATATCTTCTGATCTTCCCCCCAATCATTGAATCTTGCGACAGTAGCATGCCATCCAGCCTTAGGCTACGAGGGAGAGTTTGTGGAGGACCGGAAGCAGGGCTGGGGCTCCTTCTTCTTTGAGAACGGCGATGCCTACGAGGTGCAACATCAATGGGGTTGTGGGAGGGATGATGGACGGTTCTTTTGGGCACGTGCCATGAGCACAGCCATCAGAGCCTTTGCGCTTTCTTTCAACGCCGCGCTGGTGCTGCAAATGTTGGACACTTGCAGACAACTCTAATCTGACAATTGTTGGATGCGCCGAAAGTGTTGGAAGCTCGGTTGCTTCTTGATTTCCGCCCTAAATAGGTTTTGTTGCGACCCACCAGGGTGGCAAATAAGAGCCGCTTTCTGCAACATGTGCTTTTTGTGGCTGGAGATGTGGCTTTTTCTGGGAACTCAGAGACTGAGGCTGAGGCCGGGGGCATGGAGAGCCCTAAACCGCGTCAGGGGCAATGGTACTGCGACCATTGCCACGGCCGCGGCGTCCTGGTGCACTGGGCGCCTGACCAAGGGATCCTGGTCTACGAGGAGCGCCTTAGGGACTGCACTTGGAATCCTTTTTTTTGGCGGGGGGTTTTCTCCCCGCCACTGGGAACAGGGCCTTTGTGTTTTCTTGGGCCGGGGTTGCAGAGCCGCATTCCTGCAGAAGTCAGTGGGCGCACCTGCAGGGCGAAATGGGTACTGTACTGAGCATGGCATACTTGCGATGGTATTTCCTGCTAACTGAACCCCGCGATGGCATGGCAGCATGGATGTGCAAACGTAAGTGTAAGAGTCAGCTTCAGCGTATCGTAAGTAGGTGTAAGGGTGCGGGTGCTTGTTCTTGTGCTTTTGTGCTTGTGAGTTGTGTGAGTGGCCGAGTTTTGCAAGATTTGCTTCGTAGGCACGAGTTTGCAGCCGAGACATGCAGCTTATGACAGGTCCAGCCGAGTTCCCGTCATGTTGGCCTGCCAGGGCGAGTTCCGGGAGGGTCAGCGCTGCGGCAGCGGGCGCCTCGTGTCAGAGAGCGGCGGGCTCTTTGGCACCTGGGAGGACGCCTGGCGTGGATCGGGAGCTTGTGACAAGTCGATGGCGCTACTGTTCGGGACAGGGCCGGGTTGATTGGCTTCGTTGGCACTTCGTTCTGCCTGCAAGGTCCTGCAAGGTCACATTGCTCAAGCAATCAGGCAATTTGAAAATGGAATTCATTCACCGCGCCACGCAATCACACTTGATCCTCGGCATGCCTTGCCGTTGCAGGATGGCTTGCTCGTGAAGGGGGCGCAAATCGAGCTGGAGCCTGGGCAGATGGCTTCTCGGCACGCCTTAGGCAGCCATGTGTAAATTTTCGCTCTAGGCATTCAGCCATCGCATGTCACCCGCTTCTTCCGTTCGTGACTGGTGGCCGCGAGGCTGTCTCCGTGGTTGGCGAGACCTCCGAGCTGGGGCCCCACCCTGCGGAGTGGCAGCCCTCGGAGGCTGAAGCGGGATTGTCCTTTTGGAGACTTGAAGCATTGAAGCCGTACTGAACTTAGGCCCCAATTTCCTTTCTGGGCTCCGCCTTTGCATTGCTTCCCTGGGTGTGCCTTTGTTGTGGATATTTGGAGGGTTGAGAAGACCAAAGGGACTTCGCAACGTGTGGCTGTGTGTCAGGAATATTTGTGCCGGAAGTGGAACCCTGGAAATGGAAACATGGACAAAAGCCTGCTGTCCCCTCCCATACCCATCCCATACCCATGTGGAGGGTCCTAAAGAACCCATCAGCCCCGCCAGGTGGGGCGCTGGCTGCAGGCGCTGGGCCTTGAGGAGGCCCCTGAGCGGGCCATGGCCTCCGGGCCCTCCGGAGGAGCGCAGCTCATGCAGGCGGGCCCCTTCGGGGTCGCCAAAGGGGCCCTTTGGGTGTTGGGGTTTTCCATGGACGGGGGTGGAAGGGCAGAAGGAAAGGATGACACAAGCAGCTTCATGTTTGGAGTTTTTGGGAAAGGGGGGGGGCTGCAGACACCAGGCAAACATTGGTTTGGTTGCTTGTGGGAGGAGGGTGAGCCTTCAGCCGGGGAAACGTCAAAATGGATGGTTTCTCCTTGAACAAATCCCAAAAGAGGCGCCCTCCAAAAGACGTACCAAGTTACAAGTTGCGAGAGTCCTGAAAATTTATGGTAGCTTCCTGGAATTCAGCCAGCACGTATTTTGGGGCTTTAAGGTCGCACATGGCTGTTGTTTTAGCAGCTCTGTGATCATGATTGGTTTGCCGTTGCCTTTCTTTTGGCTTTTGATTGGCTCTCACCAGTCGTGCGACAAGTGCAGCCAGTGACGGCAGTGCGTGCTGGCAGGCGCAGCCGGAAGAGCTGCTGGAAATGGGCCAGGCTGGGGCGAGGCAGACGGATACCGGGCTTGACTTGTTCTGTTGATGCGTGTTCTGACAGGGAGGTTTTGTTGTTCAGCGCTGCCCTATTCTCCATGCGGGTTCCAAACCCAGATGTCCAAGGCGCAGCCATGTACGCCAAGCACAGGTACCCCCAGTGTCACATGCCCTATGCACACTGTCTACATCCAAAACGCTTCATGCATGTAGCCATGGTATGTAGATATCATGTATATCTTTTCTTCTTTTTTTTATACATGTATATATTGTTTGATCTTTCTTTGTTATGCATAATGTATATATAATGTCACCTGCTCAGTTAATGCCCTCTGGAACGGAGAGATAGAGCTAGAGAGAGCGAGGGAGAGGGAAAATGTCACCTACCTGGCAGGAGGCATGGCGGTTGGGGTCCCGACAGCCGACGGCATCCGACGGCCAGGTGCCCAGCGGCGCGGAGCTGGCGGAGGCGTGGACGCACACGCTGGCGGCGGCCCACAAGGCGCTGCTGAGTGCCAGCCGCTTGGACCTGCGGTGCTGTTGGGGTCGCGCGTTTCTTTCGTTATTTGATAGTTTTTACTTGTGTTTACTCAATGAAAAACATCCAAACAAGCAAGCAAGCAAACAAACGCAACAAAACACAGGCGAAAACGAACAAGCAAACAGACAAGCAAACAAACATGCAAACAAACATGCAAACAATCAAACCAACAAGCGATCAAAAAACAACAAAACACAACAAGCAAGCACTTGCAACAACAAACAAAAACAAGCACATATGTATATATATATGTATATATATATATATGTATATATATTTGTATATAATAATTATATACGTATTATGCGTATATTATGTGGATGCATGTTGAGGGCTTCTCGAATTGCCAGGGAGGCGGGATGAGCACCGATGTGGGCAGGTTTGTCCAGTGCCACAAGCTGTTTCCGTTCTTTGTTGGGGCTCTCCCTTTCTACGCCCTGCTCCTCCAGCATCCCTTCTAGTTTGTGTCCCCAACTGTTACCCTGCTATGGTGAAGAAACTGAAAGCTGGGAAGATCATACATAACCAATGATTCCTCTTGAAGAAGCCATATGCTCACACACGCACACACATACACGCCATTCAAAAGGCCGCAGAGCAGTTAGCAATATTGATTCAGGTGGGCTTTTCGCTATATAGCGAGTGGACCGACTCTCGCGCGCACACTGCAAATTGATTCACCCATGTTGGCTCAAGGACACACTTTTGGCCTCACTAGCTGCTGATAGCTCCATCCCGCCATGGCTCGCTCCCGCACTATGTTGGCCCCAGTGCTGGCCTTGGCCTGCCTGGCCCTGAGCAGCTGGAGCTTCGTGGCCCCCCGGGCGAACATCCACGCCGCGGCGCTCACCAGCGCCGTGGTGCCGGCAGTGGCTCAAGCGGCGGTGGACATGCCAGAGGTGGGTCAAAACCCCGGTTAGCCCCCAGTGAACATCCCAATCCCCACTAAAATCGACTAAACTGGGTGGTGCATCTACCCCAAAATGGTACCATTGGTTTTGACCCACAGCCAGGTCGACATGGGCTCCAGCCTGAACCTCTCCGCCACGGTCGAGGCTTTGATGCTGGGCATCGTGCTGGGCACCGTCCCCATCACCATGCTGGGCCTTTTTGTTTCTGCATGGCTGCAGTTCAAGAAGGGCCCAACCTTGGGCATCTGAGAGGCCTTCACTTTTCCCAAGCCGCATTTTCGGTAAACCAAGGAGCCAGACAGAAAAGATGCACAAATAAGATAAATTAATAAGTAAACAAATAAACGAATAGATTAATGAATAGATAGGTAACATAACAAAATAAACAAAAAAACAATCAAGCAAACAAGTAAAAAGCAAACACACACACACACAGCAATCGCAAGCAAAGAAACGAGCAAGCAAGCACGCAAGCAAGCAAGCAACAAACAAACAAGCACGCAAACAAACACATCAGATGACTAAAGCAATAGATGAATCAGCAAGTCAACAAAACATAATTATATATATATATATATATATATATACACACATATTATTATACGTATACTATGCACGAAGCCTGAGACTAGGTCCGACAAAGGGGTTCCAGCAGGCATCAAGGCTGATCTCGCATCATGCCGCACCCTGACACATCACGATGCATCAGGACGCTTGGCGAGGGCGTGTCATGTTGCAAAGCAAAACTCACGGAACATTCATCACCCAGCGTCATGATGTGTCCTGCGACGCAATGTGGGCTGCATCACGGTGCATTTTGGGCGCATGTCGCCGATGCCAAAACCGTCAGTCAGATTTTGTTAGAACCTGTTGCAGGCCGCTGAACACATGCATATGTTTAATTTGGAAAATTGTTCCTATGCATTTGTAACAGAGAATGCTGTTTTTTTTTTGTGTCCTCTCCTGGACTTGTTTGAAAAGATCCCAATGGGCAATCGCCCCGTTTCGAGGTTTCCCCGTTTCGAGACGCATCTAACTCATTTTTGCATCGGGCGGCTTGCGGGTGGGAGTCGTTGAGGCGAGGACGTGATGCCCCCCGTGGGCTGCTGGGAGCAGCTTCAGGTGGCCTTCCCTTCGATCAAGCGCCGCCTGGTGCCTCTGGCGGAGCGGGCGTGACGTGAGCAGCGAGATTTGTTTCACCCGGGATTGAGAAAACCCAGGTTGATTTGAACAGAGTCCCATTTAAGAGGGGATCCTGTATGATCCTGCACCTTTTTGGGCCAACACCCCTGCTACTTTTAGGGTCAACCTCCCCGAATAATGCGTCCGGTTGAGTAATTCGCCTAAAAGGGAAAGTTAGAGGAGTTGATGTGTCCGTGTGGACCTTGTGCAAAGACTCCGGGGCAACCGTGCAGCCAGGTGGATCACTTGTTGCGTTTCGGTATCGGGGTCTTTTTTCATGGTTGACTGCAACGTTGTACGAATCAACAAACAGGAATAGGCGGGGGGCGCACCATCAAAGGGGACATGTTCACGACAGGCAGGCTGCACTTTCAGTGTGTGTTTGTTTGCTTGCTTGCTTGGTAGGTTGTTTGTCTGTCTGTTTGTTTGTTTGTTTGTTTGTTTGTTTGGTTGTTTGTTTGTTTGTTTCGTACTTGATCGATTCTTGCTTTGCTTTGTACTTTGCTTTGCTTTGCTCTTTGCTTTGTTTGACAGCACCGAGCCGTTTCTGTCCCGTAGGAGCTCGCAGCTGAGCCCGGCGAGCGCCAGGCCGACTGGACACTCGGAGTTCATGGTGGGGGGGGGGGGGGGCAGGTTTGCTCTAGGTTTTCTGGTTTGCACCTATACGGGCCTGCAACACTTTTTGCAATGCTGCCAGAGTTTACTGCTCTTGCAGGCAAGGGGAGAGAGAGAGAGACAGAGAGCTTGATAGGTAGACAGATAAAAGAAAGAAAACAATTATCAAAGTGATCAACAAAAGGAACGGAAAGGGAAGGAAGGCGACGGAGTAAAGCAAGGAAGATAGTGACGGGCGTGCGGCGTCACGGTATAGCAATCGCAGAGCAGTTGTTCATGTAGTCCTCCAGGCTTACTCGGGAACTTTGGACGCGTGCAAGTGGTGCCAGCTCTATTGTTTCAATGGTTGCCCATCAGCTTTCTGGTTCTCAGCAGGGAATGAGGGAATGGGCCCTATAAACCATCCCTTGTGGGTTCCTTGCAGGGAATCCCCAGGTTCATTCCCAAAACCCTGGGTCACTCCGTAGCACCAGCAAGTCAACTCCATACGCCATGCGTCAGCCTTCGCCTGTGCCCAGGAAGGGCCTGGCAGTGGAGCTGCTGCCTTTGCCGGTGCAGCTGCCCTTCTCCCAAGGCTGCGCGGGTGACAATTAAGCAACCGGCGCGACGGTCGGGGGCCAAATGGGCGGACAGGGTGGCAACATGGCAACTGAACATGAAATTTGAGACTTTCAGGGAATTCGATCTTCGATGCGAGCAGTGAGTGTGACGCATTTTTCCGGCCCAAGGACCCATAACAACAGCCACTTGGGCGCGAGGCCCTTCCCAGCCGCAGAAGGTGCGCTTCGATGCAGCCAAAGACTGGGCGCCCTGGCGGATCAAGAGGCATGAACGCTTGGACGTGCCTAAGAGGCCGCATGCCGCTGGGTTGCCCTTGTCTGCTTCCGAGAGAGAGGAGAAGACAAAAAAGAAGAAAAATAACAAACAACAGACTCATTTGCACCAGACGAGTGGGGGGGGAACTCCAAACTCCCGTTTCATGCTGACAAACTCACCACCAATTCCTTGCTGTTGTTTCTGATATCTTGGATTCTTCACTTCCTGAGTTCCTGGACTTGCTTTCTGGGAAGACCAACATTTTAGTGGTAAATAATGAACAGTTAAGACTTTTTGTCGGGCCAGTGGCTCAGTTGCCCAGTGGCACCCTTTTTTCCTTTGTTTGTGGGAAGGGTTCCCTTTAAAAGCCAACCCTTTTTTTTCCGCATGGCTACTGGGCATCTGAGGTGGGGTTCTTCACGTTTCTTTCGCCGGTTTTTCAAATCTGAGGCGCAGGACCTGGAGCTGCTGTGCACGCTGCGGCACCCCAACCTGCGGCCGCTGCTGGGTATCACGCTGCAGCCCTCGGAGAGCCCCAGCTTCGCCGGGCTGCGGCGCCCTCGGTTCCTGCGCAACGCAGGGTGGAGAAGGTTATGAAACGTGGTTTTGTACGCACGGGTTTTGCCGAGACGCTGCTTGCTTATTGGTGCGCATGCTCTTGTTGCTTGTGTCTCGTTTGCAGGGACCCAAATGCTGCCACGTTGTGCTGTGCAGCTATGGCGAAGCTAGCTTATGTCATGAGAATCCAAAGCTGGTTGAGAAGAAGCCAATGCGCAGCCACCCATTCCTTTGGATTGGCATACGTCGCTGGGCACAGAAGTGTGGGATCCTGGCTGTCAGGTCCCTCATCTTTGAAGCTGCCAGGGGCAGTAGATTGCCTCTCGTCAGCACTCACTGTGGGGCAGCAGCAGGGGTGCAGGCGTCCGGATCAATAGCACAAGGTTTTGCGCACGCCAATTGTTTGGCGGATTTGGCATACTTGCTGGCACAACATGGCAGTGCGTCAAATTAAGCGCTTTATCTGGGTGAGTTCTACAACTTAAGGGATCCAGCTTCCTCTGACACGCTTTGACAACCGTCTTCTGTGCCGGGGGCCGCCGTCCCTTCTTCCACATCAAAAGCCAGAAAAGCTTCCCGACCCTCAAAGGTAGAAAGTTGTTCATTGTGGCCGGAGCAACGCTGCCAAAGTTCCCAATACTACTGCGGTGCCTTTATAATGCTTAATATGTACGAAAACACACATACTGTGTATATATATATATATTTATGCATATGTATACATATATTTTTTATATGCAAACGCCAACAGAAACACCATAAAGGGGCAGTGATCCACAGCGCTGTTGTGCAAGGGGCCGATAAAATCGACCACTCGAGGCTGTTCGAGGTGATCCATGCGAGCTTCTCGGACGGCAGCCGCCAGCACCTGGATTTCAGGAGGGGTTCTAAACAGTTCAAAATGTAAAAGGCAACCAGTAAACCAGCTGCAAAGTCATTTTTGAGACCCCATGAAAATGAGGTCACCTTAAAAAGACCCTGCAAAAGTGCTGCAGGACGGAGCTGCAGATCGGGCTGGGCATTTGCGAGGCCATGGCAGCGCTGGCGTCCCGTGGCCTCTGCCACGGGGCGCTGTGCTCCGTGAATGTGGAGGTGCTGCAGACAGGCCGAGCGATGTTCGTCCCAGCGGGATTTTGCGTTTTTGGGTCAGGTTGGTCACAGGGGCTTTGTCAAATTAACATTCTTAACTCTGCAAATATGAGTACTTGGACCTTCTGGACTTGTAACCATGATTAACCACGGCTATATGTCAGCCGTGTTGTCCCACTTGCAACCCTATCAGTAGCCAAGGGTGCGATAGGCAAAGGGCAAAGGGAAAGCAGTGAAGCTTTAAGAGCCCACGCCATTGCCATAGTACTCATAGTACTTCAATGTTCGACAATACTTAATAGATGTTGGACTCCAAGAAGAAGCCTTCGATGATGCATCATGGCACGACCAACAACCTTTGCCTTAGACTTGAACCATTGAGCCCTCGAAATGCAGTCGCGCCAGCTCACCATTGGATACAAATGAGTTATGCCGCTATGCCTAAGGTAACTCTCTCTGTGGGGTATCTTAGTGCCAGGTATAAACAGTAACTTCTGCAGCGCAGAGCTTGATAAATCATGGCCGGCCAACAAGGGGTGCGCGACAGGCGGTGTTTTACATGCCCGGCTTTGCGGCCACGGGGCCGGCTGGTGGCGCTTCGGCTGGCGGCGCTGCCTGCAGGCGGGACATTGGATGTGGAAAGGAGCAGGGAGGCCTTCTGATGGGGACCCGGCTTGAGGGGCCAGTTTGCTGCCTGAACAGTCATATAGAAGCAGTCTTGCCAGGGATTCCCAACCTTGACACACATTTGCGAGTACAGAGAGCGGGCTTGGAATGAATGGTGCACCAACACGCTGAGACAGCACACGGCCTTGAAGGCTGGTATTCGCCCACTAATGCATCACACCAGCGCCCAGGTGCGTGGCGCTCAAGCGAAGCGCTGTGCGCTGAGTGTGGAGGAGGTGTGCCGCAAGTACGGTGTTTGCTCCCTGGCAGGATTTTTTTTTGCTATATTTTGACTCTTGGAAAAGAAGCTTTGTTGTGGCTTGAGCGCATGGTTTTGGCTTTGCAGCAGGTGATGAGGATGAGTAGGTTCCGTTTTTGCCACAGATTTGTGCCTCGCCCCTCTGCTGCGTTTGCAAGAACAAAGCAGGCTTGCACAATTCTTACTGCACTGCTGGCAGCATCAGCCCCATTTTGCATCCTTGCCGCTCTTGCCCGAGGCCCTGTGAATTGGATGGCTCCGGAGGTTCTGCGGGGGGAGAAGCTCCGACAAGCGTCGGAGGTGCACTCGAGCCTCGGATGAAGGTGGGCCGGAGGGCTTCTTTTGTTCAATCAAACTGCGTGCCTTCTTTCTCTCCCTTTTTGTGGGTTTCTTTTGCGGTTTTCCTTTGGCAGAGGGAGCAGTTTCCTTGGGGCAGGGAGGGGTTTCCATTATCGAGCATGCGGTAATTCAGCCTGTTGCCACGTACTGAGGTAGATCAGGTCTTGTTTTGAGCCGGATCTGCGGGGAATCATGTCAAGAGGGGTTTGTGAGAGCGGGTTGGGCCCCAGGCCATTCGCCAGGGTTTGCCGAGGTTTGGCCGGGTCCTGTGGGAGATGCTCTTTAGGGCCGTGCCATACGGCGAGTTCAGCATCGCGCAGCGCCTGGGTTGAGGTGGCCCATGTCTGGCAGGGGGGGGGGGTTGCCAGGTAGCCCACTCATCGGAGCAAACCTTGCAACGCTTGACATTTGTTCAATCCATGCTCGTTTAAGAAGGCAACGACTGAATGTAGGTGGGCGTTCACAACAACTCAGATCAACATGATGCGAATATGCTTGTCGAATTGGCAGTGCACTAAGCCAAGTGGCTTCGCAGACGTGTATGTCCTGTATTCTGCAGTAGTTTGTACAGCTGTTAATGCTTCCGGTTGTTCTAATTGCTGACAGGCGGCATCCAAGCATGTTGTTTGAAACAGGCCGGTGTTGTTGTAAAATTCTCCAGTTCGAGGGGCACTGGTCATGATACGCCCGACGCGCTACGAACCGGGCCTCTCCATCACCCTCCAAATTGAGGGAATGCCGTCTAAATTGAAGACCCGCCCCCCCCCCAAAAAAAAAGAAAGAAAAATAAGTAGTTTTGAAACCCTTGGAACTGTTTACTTGGGGGGCCCAGCAGTCTGATCCCCTTCCAAGGATCGTGGCAGCAGTGGGCTACGGCCGGCACCAGCTGCGCACCTCCGCTGCGCCCTCGGCGTCGGCGGGTCGCGTCTTCCTGCAAGAGGCGTCGGCATGCTGGTGGGTGCTGAGACACGGAGCTTTGCTCTTGGGAAGGGGGTTGGAAGGGTACTTGGAACGCAGTGCAGCGGCGCCTTTGAAGGGGTTTGGCAAAGGAAAAAGGGGAGGCAAGGTAATCAGCCTGAACTTCTGGTAGTCTCTTGCTTGGTTCGTGATCGAACTAAAGCCAACGGCATGGAGCTCATGCTTGAAGATCCTTGCCTTCAAGCGTTTCAGACCTCCAAGTTTCACCCCGATATTGGTCAAGACTTGGCGTGCCTTGTCCACTCAGAGGCGTTTCCCCCCTGCAGGTGGCGGATCAATGCATGCGATGGGACTTGGCTGAGCGGCCATCTTTCTCCTTGCTGCTGGAGGCTTGGCTGGCAGCTGGATTGCAGGCCCCGCCTTTCCAAAGCACTACTCGTGGATAAGTACGTGCTACAACTGCACGACTACGTAGTTTGCTACAGGCAAGGCATGTTGTCCTTGCACTTTGCCGTCCCGTGTTCCAAGGAAAGCCTGCGCGAGACGAAGCAAGCCGATGAGCGGCGCCGCGCCAAGGGCGTGTTGGGCCGCCTTGGGGGGAAGACGGAGGCGCGGGGAGGAGAGAAGGGCATTGGCCCGGTGACTGGTGTGGCTGCCCCACATTGGTATTTGTTGAACCGTATCTTTTGCAGGTGAGGAAGGAGAACATGACCGCCATGAGAACTGCAGATCAGCTCACTTTTTGCGATGTGTGAAGCTTCGCAAGGCGCTGCTTGGGCGCAGCCGTGCGGAGCCGCTCGGCGAGGGCCCTCGCATGGTGCGCCTCGAGACAGGCTGCTTTGGTGCGTCGGTGTCTCATGGTGCCCCCAAGTAGTGCACCAGTTCTGAGGCTTCACAAACATAATAATAACCTTGTCTTGAGCCCTCAAGTATCAGGAAGTATGGTTGGAAGCCTCAATGCAAAAGACACTTTGTGCAGGTTGTGGAATGGGTAATGGGTAGTTTGGCCACATGTTCGCTGTGGACACGCTGAGGACTTTGGTGGTCCGAGGCTCTTGCCCTGTGTTTGTTTGGGCCTATTCTTTAAGGTTGCAGTGCATGATTTTGGAGCTTCGAGCCATGCATATTCAGTGGTCACTTGCTGCTGTGGGGAGGCGAGTGGCTGCGCGTGGATGAGGACCTGGTGGAGCAGTACCCAGATGACGAGGCGGTGGAGTTGATTGGGATGACCCAAATGGAGCCACCAAGCCTTGAGCAAGAGCTAATCTCCTTCAGCATCAGCCTTTCGAAAAAGCTGCCAGGAGAAGTGGCGGACCCTCATGGCTTTCCGAGCCAAGATGGCTTCGCAGCCGGCGGCCGAGATAGCTGCGCCGTGAGCAAAAAATGCCGCGAGGGGTAATGCGTTGGGTGCGGCTGAGGGCTGCCTTCTTTCCATTGAGTTGGAGAGCAAGGGGCGAATTGGAGCAGTCTACATTGCCATACCCATCTTCAATCAGAAAGCAAGGCATAGCTTAGCTGTCCTGGAGGGGCCATGTCGGTCTACAGCTTGTTCCCGAGCTTGGCAAATTTCGCAGCAAAAGCAACTGCAGTGGGCATGGCCCATCGCCTTCACCCCCACCAGAAAACAACAGCTGTTTGTTTCCTCCCTGGCCGTCATGTGTTTGAATCGCACCTCGCCAAAACAGTTTTGCCATGGACTTAGCAATGTTCAACAGCATGGCAGGGCCGAGCTGACGGGCCTTGCCACACATTGCTTAGGCTCGTAGGTCGGGTCAAAGCGAAATGGGCCCACAGGTCTTCAACAAGACACACTGTCTGGAAATGAATGGTTCGGAGTTGCGATCTCTATCCTGTTTTGGTGCGGTTGCACCCGGTGATTAGAGTCATGTTCCTCGCCGCAGGACATATTGCGGCTAACTTGGAGCGCCGGGGTCACTGAGCTTCGTGCAGAAGGCAAGCCCGTTGACTCGGCGAGTTGGCGACTGCAAAGGAAAGCGCTTTGCATTCTGGCGGCTCGCCGCTGTTATTGAACATCATGTCGAACTGCTTCCAGGCGTCCCAGAAGCATAAGTCTGGCTATGTTGGACCCAACGATGAACAAGATGAGAGGATACAAGCTGAATGAGCTGCTTCTTTAGTGCAGGTCGGGGCGCAGTTTCTAATTATGATTTGCCATGCGCCGTAGAACTCCCCATGCATGCTGATCATCACATTTTCGGCAAAGTTAGGTCACGTGACTCCAAAAACCTAGAGGGAAGAACTGGCGCTCCGCCTCATTGACGTCGCCTCATGTCTTTTTTCCGGAGCCGGCCGGTAGCGCCGGTAGCGCCGGTAGCGCCTCGGGTTGGGTCGCTTCTCGCAGGCGCCTGGCGCTTCTGGGGCGAGGGCCTGGGCATGGAGCTGGTGGCGGGCACCGCCTTGGCGGCGCCTGGGGCTGCTTGGCCAGCCCAGGTCATGAGGAGCTGCGTGTAGTCTTCAGACGGGGTTTAGTCCGAGGAGGCGTTTGCGACATATTTTCCCAACAATACTCCCGACCCAAAGAAATGAGAAGGATACTTAACTTAACGGTTGTTTTCTTGCTTGGAAAAAAAACAGGATGCGGCTATACTCCAACGCTTCGACAGCCCTGGTCTTCGCCGAGCCCCAGCCACACCCGACGGCGCAGCCACAACCACCACCGCCGCCGCCACCGCAGCCGCCCCTCTCTTCCATTCTTGTCCAGCAATTCTTGCTTCTGAGCACTAAGAATGCCAGAGCATCTCTGCAAACAACACTCATCTCCGAAACCACTGATTTCCTTACACCCCCTTTACTACATAAACGTCTCCGGCAACAAGTTTTCAAGGGAGAGTGCGTGACTACGCCCTACACTCAAAAATGCTCTGCCAGTACATGCCAGTACTATGGCAGCATGAAGCAATGCTAAGCCAATGCCAAACGAATACAAACAAGAAGCCACTACGAAGGCAGCAAAGCCAGACTACACCCATACTCATCAATGCTAAGCCAGTACTAAAGCAAGACAAAGCCAATACTCACCAATACGAAGACAGTACTAAACTTGATCAAGGCCATTTGACCCCCAAATATTGAGCCCGCCAAAATTTGTGGGGCCTGTATCAATCAGTGACCCACATTAACATTGGCCCGGCTTGTGCCCGCGCTGGCTCAAAATGAAGTGGGTCGATGCCACGGGAATGTGAAGCAGGCAGCTATGATGTATCTTGGGAAAGGAGCCACAATTTGGAAGTATGGGGCAGTGGACTTTGTCCGTCGATGCGCTTCATCAAATACAACAAGCAGCTGCCATGGCAGCAGAAAGGGTTGCCGGCCACAGTCCAATTTTCGCGGGGTACATTGGCATGCTGCATCTGGAAAGTGGCAAAGCGCTGTTGTGCATCCAAAGCTGCCTAAAGCCCGCCACCACTTGGGACTTTTCGAGTGCGAGACAGCTGCTGCCGCCATCTTTGATGCGGCCATCTTCATTGTGGAAGGTTCCAATAGCAGCCGAAACTTTCCAGATCGCATGCCTGCCCCGAGCGACTTGCTAATTGCCACCAATCGGTTGGCTGCCAAGCCCAAATCAAAGAGCCACAGTATGTTTTCGGGCGTTGGTAGGTCGGGTGAGCGATGGACAGCTCGACTTCGCATTAGAGGATCGATTTCGCATATTGGATATTTCAATACAGAGCTGGAAGCAGCACATGCCTATGATCAAGCCTTGCGAAAAACTTGCCAATCGCGCGGACGGCTGCTGGCATCACTGAACTTCCCTAAGCGCGCCGACTACTTCACTTTGGCAACGTGGTCCAGCGAGAACTGCAAAGACAAGACTTCGGTTTTCCTTGGGGTCTACAAGGCGAAGACAAAGACAGAGCGCTTTTACACTATGCGCCGCCACAAATGGCTGGGCACTTTCCACTCAGAGCTTCAGGCAGCGCGAGCCTATGACAGAGCTTCGTTGGCGGCTGGTGGGCGCACCAATTTCCATCCCAGTGACTATCCTGAGGTTCTCGCAGCGCAGCAGGGGCTGCCGGTAATGTTAGTACCTTAGCTGCAGTCACGAGTTTGAAAGGCCAATCGGGGTTCAACGCGGATGCTTTCCATATCATCCCCGACATATCCCACTTCATTTTCATGGTTTACGGTTTCGGGCGCTCCCAAAAGCAGTGGCCTGGCGCTGAGGAAGAAGCCGTGTCTGTGCTCAGCACAGAAAGCTCGGAAAGCTGTTCTGAGGATGCGCTTCCTGGTGATGCACAGGGCGTATTGTCCGCTCTGGCAGCGGAGCCAGCCATACATCAAGGCGCGGGTGGTCAAATCTCACATGACCAGCTTCGTTTTTCACGATGCTACGCACCCGTATGGCAACAAATGAGCAGCATGCCAACAGAACAAAACTGCAGGTTGGATTCATTCCCGACTGACTGCCTTCGTGTTTTGCATTGTGTTGCGCTCCTTGCAGTCATGCGCGCAAGATTGCAGGAAATCTGCAGCTGCAAGCACGCCCTGTGAGTGTCAAGGTGGCAAGGGACAAGGAAACCACGCATGCCAGCGACTGCCGCTTCTGCCCTGACCAGTTCATCGCTCTCAGTCTCTGGCCGTCAAGCGACGCATCAGATGAAGCCCCAGGCGCCCGCGCGATCAAGGTGTCAGACCTGCAGCAGCTCTTCAGCAGCGTCAGGGCCAATAATGACGGTGCGCTTCAAGCCGCTGTGCGGCACAGCGCGACGCAACTGATTTGCGACGTTCGGCGGCGACTGAGCATCTTCCAGGCTAGCGAAGCGCTTGGGCGCAATGGCTGGTCCCTGGAGGGCTTTGAAGGGAATGAGGCGGAGGTTCGCATGGTGCTGGACGTGCTGCTGGTACACCTTTGCCGCAAGGAAAGGCTCAAACTGTCCCTGGAGACGCCGTTGCCGGCCTCGGCTGCAATTTCCGGAAAGGCGGATTACACGCTTTGGTCAGGCGACGATTTAGTCGCCGTGGTCGAGGCCAAGCGGTGCGTGAGGACAGGCGGTGTTGCAGAGGCGCGGGACAGCAGGGCTACATTGCTTACCAATGCTTTGGCACAGACCTGTGCTCTGCTTCAGGGATTCCATACTGCCGGAAAGCGGCCGCTGGGCATTGTGAGCGATGCCAAGGGCTGGATACTGGTGCGTGTTGAGGATGGCGCGCCAGTGCTTCAGCTTTGGCCTAGTCACCAGACAATGATGGAGCTGCGGGGCGGGAATGATTTGGCAAACCTGATTGGCTGCTTGCGACAAATCATCTCACGTTCGTAGCCAAAATGGTCTGCGGATTTCGCTGGAAGACCGCGCCGAACAGTTGAGACCAACGTGGCCATGGACGTGCTGGCGCCATGCGCACCACCAATTGCAACTGTTCCTGGAGACCCGGGTTTATGACATCATCACATATGTTGATGCACCACAAGGGGGCGCTGTTTGTGTCCTGCACGCGGAGCAGCTTGTGGGCAGCAGCTAGTTTGGCTGCGGGCTTTGAGCGGTGCCCGCAGCAGAAGTTGGTTGGTGCCCGCTGCTTGGTTCACTGCTGCTGTTGACATTGCGAGCCGGTCCTGCGACAGCAAGCACCCAACCGCGTTCCTACCAGCGCCATGTAATGGAACTAGTATGCCGTTTGAGTGGCGGGGAAAAGGTCTCCGCTTGATTTGCTGACCAAGGCTAGCATGCCAGTCAATGCGGGGATTTCTACCGCCGGATGACCTGATGTGATTAGTAAATTTTCGAACAGTTAGGCTACTTGTGAAACATCCTTAGTTTAAAATTATCATGGCCATGGTGGCCACCACTTGCAGTGAGGCTTCGCCTTCAGCCAAGCCGCGCGGCTTGGTCTTCTCCTCTGCTTGGCCCTTGGGCGATGGATTTGTTGGGTGTGGGGGGGGGGTTTTGGGTGAAGGGTCAAGAAGGGTCCACTTCATTGCGGCCGACTGAATCCGACCACCTCTCATGTTTTCTTCTGAAGCGATGAGGTCGGCAACCAGTGCCTTCCGGTGGTGCAGAGCTGGCCGCTTTGCCGCACCCAATGCCCCAGACGAGTGGCGTGTTTCTGGCCCGCTTGAGGCTGAGCTCTGGAACCATGGACTTCGACGTAGCCCTGGTGCCGCGACCTTGGGTCAAGCAGTGGACATGCGGGGCCCAGCATAAAGAGCGCCCAGGGCAGCCCAAATGAGAAATAAGAGAGTTGGTGTTCTTGCATCTTGTAGCTTCGGCCACGGGAGGACGGAGAGAGAGAGGGAGGTAATTACAGGGATACCGCAGTTGGTGTGCATCAAGGCAAATCATTGCCTGAGCGACAGTGTGAAACCGTGCCTCTCAAGGTTCTACAAGGAGCCAAGCTCCGCAGTTTTTCAGTCCCTACAAGATCTTAGCGAGGAGGTCAAAGGCGGGCACAAGCGCCGACTGACTGCAACACTTGCCAGGAACAACAAGCACAGGCGTAATGATCTGTCCTGCCAAAACTTTTTGCCACTGGTGGCTCAACTTACCTAGGCTGAGTTGGACATTTCCAATTACTGGTCCAATCCCCTAGTGGCCCCGGTGGTTGCCTTGTGGCAGGCCTACAAGTGGTTCAGCATGAGGGAATGAGTCCTGGCTGCACAGCTTGTGCATGGGAAATGGCAACACATGACACATCCAGCCGTTGCTGGCCAGCAGGCTGACTCGCAGGCTCATCCAACAACCCCATCAACCCCCATCCAATGTGGCACACTGGGCCCTGCAGAAAGGCATTTGAGACGTGAGGACTTGGTAATCAGGGAGGCGCCATACTTACAATCAAGTTGTTGTCCTGACCTGCAGCTTCCCTAGATTCCATAGAATTTGCAACTCCCCCTCGTGCGATTTGCCGCTTTTCGCGTCAGGAAGTGGCCAAACTTCCGGTACTGGATGGAGCTGCAGGGTGGTGCTGCAGCAGTGGCGGCGCGCTATGCGCCCCACCTGCAGCTGAGGCTTGTGGATTGGCATGGTGCACATTGTCAGTTTGTTAATTTGCTTTTTGGAACTCTGGCCATTTACCTGTTGGCAACTTGTTGAGCCTCGTCCAACACCTAGGACTACATTTGGGTAGTGGACGACGATGTGCGCTTGCCCACGGGGGAGATCTCGCGCATGTTCAACATTCTGCTCTTCGGTGGCACTTAGTGGGGCTATTGAGGAGGTCCGACTCGACCCTCGCAATGCAGTGAGCAGAGCAAGCAAATCTCAAAGCTGGAGTTGAGCTGCGAAACGGGGACCCGAGGCGCGAGCACGAGCAGATTGCCTTTGCCTGCCCGTCCTTCGACAAGGCGCCAAGTCACAGTCCATTGCAGGCCTTCAGTGCCTTTAGGCTCGCAAATAGAAATCAAGCATCGGAATGGGTGTCATTACCTGCATTTTGGCAGCGGCTACTCATGGGAACAGCGCGGTTCGCAGGTTGGAACTTGGGTTGAAGTATGATATGCATGTTGCCGAGTAAAATGTGACCAATACTCCACTTCAGGGCAGTGATGGTGTGTGGCGCTTCTTCGATGGTCACGATCCACGCTGCACAGCTGCAGTGATTGTGGTGCGCAGTTTGCTAAGGTTTTTGCTGACTTACAAAGCCCTATGATAGTATATTCTGAAGTCACGAAGACGTCGGCACACACATACGTGTTTGTACATATATATATATAGATGTAAAGATATAACAAACTGCTTGGACATGGCAACGCATTCGATGCGCACAATTTGGCTTCAAGTGGTTTGATCAATAGCTCCCGCGCCTGCAGACTCATTGGTTTCCGCAGCTAAGGCTTTAAGCTGCGGTACACCAACTTTGTGGAATGCACGCCTGAGCTCGGGCAGGGGGCAGCGCTGGGACCGCCTATGGGCACGGGGGACCCCAACAATGGTGGTCCGGTATGGCCTCCAAGCCAAGCTTAAAATGGTCTCATCAGTACATAAAAGCATATCACGCACTTGTGTTCTTCGAAGTGGTGCCCAAAACCGCCAGCAATGCATTGCATGCATTGTGGTGAGCCAGTCGCGACCCTCGCTTTTCTCTCCAGGTACGGCGCCGGTGCTGAAGAGCGCTATGCTACTGGATCCCCGCTTCCAGCCCTGCCTGCGGGCGGTGCGGACAGGCGCGCGTAGGGTGATGCTTTCGTCCTACGTCTTACATGTGTAGTCGGCAAGCATGATCTATTTGATTTCATCATTTCAAGGAAAGCCCAAAGAGTTCAAACGCGCTTTTGGGGGAAGCTTGCGTGGTGACCGCGCGAGGCGCCACAGCAGATTTATCGCCCTGCACTTGTCCTGAAAGTTGTAGAAGGGCTAGCGGCAAATCGCAAGAGACTGTTTTGACGACAATGCATGCCGCCTTTTGGCAGGTTGCTTCATTGACTTCTGTTTTCATCCAGCGGCTGGTGGAGGAAATGACGTGGTCGCAGCCACGTGGCTGCATGCATGACCTTGACCCTGAGTGGCTATTGGTATTCAGGGGGGTGTTGGTGGAGGTTTCTCCATGAGGCTTGCAGCAAGCCGTTATGGCCATTGGTGTTGAAAAGGTCGAAAGGAGTTTTCATCACTTTGTTCTGCACTGGAAGGCTGCATGGCACACTCACGCCCGGCAACAACTCTCGATTGCACTGCACTGCTTGATCAAAATTGGCGACATTGACAATGTCAGGAAATCAACCTGCTAGGCAAGACAAGAGGCAGGACGAGCCAGGCATGTAGACGAAACATAGTCGGTAGCTCCTTTGTTTTCTTTGCGCGGCCCAGAAGTGCGAGGTCCCACCACGCCTCGGCAGCCTGCTCCAAGGTCATTGACGCCGTGCAGTGCCACCACCCTCCACGCACTGCGGACTATCCCAGCGAGATGCGGCAAGTGCAGGCTCGCTGGGGTAAAGGGGGGTAGGCAGCCCCTGCGCGACTCGGAGCATAAGGTTTTGATGGATGAGTCCAGACCTCTAAGAGGAATATCAATGTGATGAAACTGATGCACCGCCTGCTGAGGGGCTAAGATTTCAACGCTGAGGCGGTGCCATTGGTTGAAAAGTATTTTAAACCAAGCATCCATTTTTGGATAGCATTGGTGTTGAACGTACGCGCTGGCAATCATAGGTTCCAAACAGAGAGTGCAAACAGCTTGCGGGGAGCCCACCAGCTTCGCATAGGACTGGCTGCAGCACAAGAATGACGACGTCTTATTTGAGAAGGACGCTGGCATTCGTACGTTACGTCGTGTCAGTGAATTGGCATTCCTTGCAAGGTTTCTGCAAGGGGCCGCTGTTCCCACCCTCAGCTTTGACGTCTCCGTGAAAAGTCATTCTAAGTTGTTGATTTCAAGTTCCAAACGGGATTTTAGATCATGCCTTTTGCCTGTCATTGGTAGTTATTTTTTCCCTTTCAGCTATGTAGCTCCCCGATGCTCCCCGTATGTTGCGGCCTGATGGGTCCTGTTCCGCCCCGGGTCCGGCCAGGAGGGGGTGCCCAAGGACTGGTGGGCCGTCGAGCCCCGCTTCTTCCAGCCCAGAGTGGGGCAGCCTAGGGCCAGCCAAATTTGTTCTGTTGGCTTTTGTCGCGTTTATGGCTGATACATGGCCAGTTTCGTTGTTCATGTTGATGATCCTGGGTGACTTGATGTGACCCATAAGCATCTCAATGTCTATTTGTTTGTTTTTGTGTCAATGTGAGCGGTTTGGGTTCTTGACGGGGATCGTCTGAGAGGGTCAATCCTCCAGAATCGGCAAGGTATTGGGAGCCATCCCTGCGGGTGACTGACACGGAGCAGCACGACCGACAAGAGAACCCACGGCAGCCTGTCCTGGGGTTGAGATGGGCAGCCCGCCATGCATGATCGAGGCTTGTTAAGGCCACATATTTTTGGTGAAGATGACTTGTTTCCCCTCAACTGTTCCATGGCCCTCGCTGGCGGCGTCTTGTGGCCTGGCCCAGGCTACAGCGAGCCGCGCAGCCCTCGGCTGGCCCGCGGCCGTAGGAGACCAAGCTGGCCTCGCCCCGGCGAAGCGTGTGCTGATCCTGCCGGCCGGCTGGGCCAAGCAACCTCCGGAATTCGCACAGGATGCAAAGAACCGAATTCGTGCAACACTGTTGCTTCATGAGGAGGGCGCTTTGTCCAGCAGGGCCTGCCAGCCTTGGACCGAGCAAGATGTGCAGCTTCAAGTCAACGCCTTGCTGAGTATGGATGGGTTATGACGGATTCACCTGGCATACAGGTGTGCCACCGACCCGGCCCGCTCGCGAGCACAGCTGGCCAGGTGTGCTGCTCAAGTGTGTTTCGTAAATAAGATTATTTTCGTCACTTCTCTGGCATAGTCCTTCGGTGGAGCTGGCCCACTTATAGCAATTCATTGTTCCCGGCTTATGTTTGCTGGGCGGGAAGCAACCCCACGCACAAACCAAGGAGGCTAGGTGTTTGCTTTGACAATGCGCCACATTGAGGAAAAGGTGTGCTGTGTACACAAAGCAATCAGCGGTTGGCTGATGACATCAAACGAGACAAGTAACTACTTGTACTCGGTGTGCGCGTGTGCTTGAAACAGTAATTGTCGCTGATCCACTGATTATGCTGCGCAACGGCAGTTTGTCGAGCTGTGCGTCCGAGTTGGAGCACGAGCCACCTTGAATTGTGCGTCCTTTGCAGGCTCAGCTCCCTTGGCAAGAAGGCCAGTGAGGCGATGGGAAAGTTTTGATCCTGACGTGTTGCCAGAAATTCAGCTGGCAGATGGACAATAGAAACCAATTTAGGGAGGACCCCCTGAGCCACAAACAGTTTGAGCGGACGAATGGTTCAGCGCCCTATGAGGCCTACATGATGTGGGATGGACAGCAGAAGGGGCAAAGCCGGCTTGTTTAACTTGTGTTTGAGACTCAAGCAGTTGTGGCGTGCAGGATTCCAGCAAAGAAGGGAGATTTCACTGGTCCGAGTTTAAGACGTTTGAAAGCCTGGGCGAACTGGAGGTCAAAGGAAGCATCACCCTGGGGGCTGTTGGTGATTAGCAGTGGGCAGCGCTTTGCAGCGTCAAAGATTTGTTTTTCCCCTGTTGGAAGGGTAATGTCAACACGCTCCGAGAGACACAATTGGAAGAAACAAATATAGATAAATCAAACATGATATAAACATACTTCTGGATAACAAGGCAGCAATGTTTTGTCAGCATGTTTAATGGTTAGAAGATATTCAATTCCTTTTCCTTTCATACTTATATCTTATTTGTTGACCGAATATGCCTTTTCCTTTGCAAGCTGTCAATGAAAGAGAAATGCAACACAGAAGGCCCATGCACCTGTAGTATGCTGTAGACATAGAGACTCATCCCATCACAGCTTTTGTTTTCTCCAAATTCCTTCTGATTATTGCCGGGGTCCAACTTTTGGGGTCCGAGTCCCACCTGCCTGGGTTGATAAATCCGCGGCCCAGCCCGCTGGCCAGCTTCCCCGTGCTCTTGCAGCCTCTGCCGCTTCTGGTGGGGCTGTCCTCGTTGGCGTGGGGGACCGTGGGCTGTGGGAGAGTTGGCTGGGAGCTTCGGTTGACGATGCAATGCTGGTTCGTTCACCGCAGCCAATCCGAAGTCGTTGGGAACCAAGACGACTGTAAGAATAGCGGCGTAGTATGCTGCATCTTGTAGCAGTGTTTGTTTGCCAATATGTATTTCTTGGAGAGATCAGGAGAGCAGACATGCAAATAGGGTCAGGAGGTCCACACTCGGTGGATTCAGAGTATCCAGGTGACTTGTTCATACGGCTGGTAATCCATCAACGGGTAATCTTTTGACAGCCTCGAAGCCTGGAGGTGGCGCACTGGCTCCATGTGGGTGCATGAGCTGTAAAATCGGCTCAAGACGATGTCCCGCGCCCCACCAGAGGGAGCTGGCGTGACTTTGCTTCGGCGCAAGGTCACCACGCATGAGCTGGAGAAGGAAAGGGCGCCGCATTGACAGTCGCGGTTTGCAACAGAAAACTGCGCCCCTTGTCACATTGCCTTCATTCAGAGCATGAGGAGGGGACCAAAACACTAAGTGAGAGTGCTGGCCCCACATGCCCTCATGCGTGCCCACACGGCCCCACCCCACGCCCACTCCATACGCTCATGCGTGCACTCCACACGCCCACAGGCCCAGCCCCGGACACACAAACAAAGGAGCACGAGCACAAACAATGCCACAACAGCAAACAAACACACACGCATGCGCGCGCACACACACACACACACCAACCACTACAAGTCAAAACACACAACAAAACACCCTGAAGAAAAACATATAATCAATAAGAAACACAATTACCCAATAGCAACCCCAACGAACCAACCAGCCAACAAACAAAGACAGACACAAACGGCAAAGCAAAACCAGCTCACAAACAAAAAACACAAAAACAAACCAACAAACAACCCCCAAAACACACACAAGCACCAACAGACAAGCACCAGCATTTGCCAACAATAGCATCATCATCACGCTCACACAGCTATTACCGCTTTTTTGCTGACACCATGTCTCCCACACTCTTGACATTGACCATCCTGCTTGCCATTGCTTGCCTTGGTCGAAGTGTTTTTTTACACGTCTTTCCTACTGCCGAGGCAGAGAACCCAAAGAAAGTCCTTCAGCCGGCATTCGCAGCAACCTCTGGCGTGTTTTTCCAGTCGGTGTGCCTTCGGCTTTGGCCAGGCTGATCTGATCCTGGACGGCGTGAAAAGCCGGGAGCGCGCCCACGAAGAGGCGGTCACCCACAAGAGCTCCAAGCGCTTGGCGCGGCCCCAGAGCCACACCTCGCTGCCGGTTTCGCCGCTGTCGCTCGCCTCGGGTTGACTCGTGGTCGACGGGGGGACGCAGTTTTTGCAAGACCAATGGCGCACAAGGAGCATAAGCAGAAGCATGTAGACGCGTTGCTTGATCTTGCATGGCTTGCAGGGATGTCTCATTCCTCCCAGGGCTGAACTTGTCAGAAAGTGCACATGACTGAGATAGATAGTATGCGTACTTTGTTCCATTTTGTCGTGCTTGCGAGAGCAAGTGTGTAGTTCAGAATGTGAACAACATCTCTGACATGAGGGCATTCATGTGCCACACGAGGGTGTGAGCTGGTCATACATGCCACCTCTCAAGTCCGAGAAAGCAAGTTCTTGCCTGCAACCTCAGGACTACTTGCTCTGCCGCCACCCTGCTGCAGCGCCCTGCCGAGCCGAGCTTCCCTAGGCGTCGGTGGACCATTGACCTCAGTCAGGATGCCCAGGACGGCGCCCATGAATTGGGCTGTTTGCAGGGTCGGTCAACTAAGTTTGGAGTGATTTTCAGGGTAATGGCAAGCGGTAGAAAGATGGGGCCGTCAGGGTCATCCGAGAAACGGGACAGGCTTGAGGATATCTTTTTCTGCAGTTCCCCATGCAAGGCATGGCAGCACCTACATGGCACACAATTGTTGGGCGCCTTCTTTTGGGCTTCGCATTTCTTTCCGAATGGACAACCAGGGGTTGTGCGTACTGTGCCTCTTAGTGCCGCGAGTCACACGCTCCGGGCCCAGGAGGACGTGCTGTCGCCCAAGTGGGCCAAGGCGGTGGTCCGGCGCGCCAGCAATCGCCTGGTGATGGAAGATATGGAGGACTGCGACAGGCCCACGGCCCGCGGGATGTTTGTGTTGGAAAGCTCCGAGAGGGTAAAGCGAGGCCATCCGTGCAGGTCCCTTGTGGAGAAATGAGTCAGGTGGGCGAGTGGGAACCTAGGATGAATCCGACAGAATCTAGCAGTCCTATACCAAACTCAGCCAGGAGATGGGAGTGAGGGAGAGGTACCAAACTTGGACAGCTCCTTTGATCAAACTTGTTGACACATGAATCCAACGCCTTGTTGGGAACCGAGCAGAATGAATGGGCTGACGCCAGCATCAATCTTTGCCTTGGCGTGAACGCAGGTCCTTTGTGGAGATGTGCGGTAGGCTTCAAAGCCTCATAGACCAAACCGTCATGCGCACACTCAAGTTCTTCACCCGGATTCGTGACTGCACCTTGGCTTGTTGAAGATCGTCCGGCAATTTCCTTTTTGTGTGCAAGCTGCGGGGTGCGTTCCAACGGTAGGCTTTCTTTGCCTTGAGCAAGGGGGCTAAATGTGTTTTGTCAACTTCGGCTTTCATTTCCACTTGAGGCAAACAATTGTGGCCCCACAGTCTGTGTGATCCACGTGGCCAACTGGCAACAATGTTTGGCAAGAGCATGGGTGAAAAATTCCGGAAGCATGTCTGTGTTTTGCATGCATGCGCTTTAGTCCTCAAATTCACGTTTCCGCCTACAAGCCCGCCAGTTCAAGGGGTGACAATGGAATATTTGGACACTGCCGATCTCCGGCAAAAGTCGCGAATCTTACGGATGTTGTCAACCTGAGGGTGGAAGCTCAACGCCAATGTGCGTGCCATGCCATGCGTGTGGCTCACGCAGCGCTGGATTTCGTGCTTGGCCGAGGCCACAAGGAGCGGCCTACCATGCTGATGGAGCCCCAGAACTTCGAGCGGCTGACCTCAGTGAGTGGCGGCCTTAGGCTCCAGGCGGTTGGGAGGGCGGATGGCATTTGACAGGGACCTCGGAGTGACAGGGATGGGTTCCGGTGGGGGATGTTAGCTGTTGATTTATGTCTTTCTCCTGGCAGTGGCCTGCACGTTGTGGAGCCTTCGCTGATCCCACCCTGGAATGGCAGGCTTCATGGTGTCCACGGTGAACTACCGGCTGTCCAAATGGCTTCACCAGCTGGAGCCCCATCAGTACGCCCGCTGGCGGGAATGGTCTTCAGCAAATGGGGCTAGGGCGGCGGGATGCCGCGTTTGTTGGCTCAAGGGCCGTAGACTTTTATAATTGCATATCACATGGAAATGGCCACCCCATGAGAGTTGCGCGTATACAATTGCCCATGGCGTGTTCAGAAGTACAAACCTGCGTTTGTGGCGGGCATGTTATGTATTGTTGTCAACCACAACAGAAC